TGGATTAGCCAAGTGGCAGCATGGCAGCATCAATGGATTCAACCGTGGCAACAGTAGTGAGGTTGGCCCAGGATCGGGCAGTGTTTCGTTCTGCTGTGAGTAAGGCTGCTATGAGTCGGTACCGACTCGATCCACCCACCTAACAACCACAGTGCTATGTGTGATGCTGCAGGATAATGCACTCGACCTCAGGGTAAGTTTGAACTGCAAAGTTGACAGAACTTAACAGCGATAGTGCTACTTAGAAGTCCTGGTGTGGTGCCGTAGGATCAGCACTCAACTGCTACCAGCAAGGTCGGTGGTTCAAACCCTCCAGCCGCCCCTTGGAAACCCTATACAGGGTCATTATGAGTCAGAACTAGCTTGATGGTACTTAACAAGTGGTACATAGACTAGAAAAATAAAGACAAAGTCTCACGATGCTTGCAGATGTACAGCCCTTCTTACATGAAAATGTTGGTGTTAGGGTAACACACGTAAGATTTTTAACAATTGTTTAACCAACAACACCTATCTCAGCCTCCTTCCCCTCTCTCAGTTCTAGGACACAAAACTTGACAGAATTAAAAACCTGCCTCAAGGTCTTCCAGTACTAAGAAAGATGTTGGGAGAATTGAGAGATGACATGGTAGGACTGACTCGGGGGGGGGGAAAAAAAAAAAAAAAAGGCTTTCCCCTTGGGCTAAAGACAACTGAATTGCGATGCATATTACTAATTATGTTCAAAGGAGCTTGGGTGGCTCAAGCTGTTTGAGAAAGACAGGGACCTGAATGATTGGCAGCTTAACCCACTCAGTGACTCTTAGGAAGAAAGACCTGGTGACCTGCTTCCCTAAAGATCACAGTCAAGAACAGCTCTATTCTACAACACACGAGGTTGTCATGAGTCAGCCAAAAACAACAATTATATTTACGGTCTCTCTCAGGAAAAAAAAAAAAAAATCATTGGAGTCAAGTAGAAGCAATTTAGAATACAAATGATAGACTTTCCATGTTCTTTTAAGATTTGCATTCAGTAAGACTTTAGGGTCTTGGTTTAAAAAAAATTGTGCTGAGGGAGGTCAAGTGACTATCACCTAGAATCAATTACACACTAAATACAAATAACAGTTACATTTTACTGAATGCATACGTGCTGCCAGAAGCTTTAATTAACAATTGACTTAACATTTTAAGTAGCACCAATTATGTATCAGGCACTATTCTAAGTAGTCTGCAAATATTAACTCCAGTAATCACACTATGAGATATGAAATCTTGCCATTCCCCTTTTAAAGATAAGGAAACTGAGGAAGGAGACCTTGAGAAATGTGTGTGCGATCATGCAGATAGTTGAAGTGGAAGAGCCAGGACTAAAATGAAGAAGCATAAAGTAGATAAATTTTCTGTATTTAATAAAACGAACCACGCCTGACACTTGCCTTACGTTTTCTTATTTACAGAGAGAAATATTTTAATTTAAATCTAGCTTTGGTGAGGGCTACTCTTCAATTTTGACATACAGGTTGGTTAAAACAGTACATTTATTCAGTCCACTTAGCAATTAAAAGGATCTTCATCAGCAGAAAAAACAGAGAAAGTAAAATTAGAAGGAATAATGCATTTCAATTCGTCTCTATGACCTTCCTCCCATCTCCTAACTATGGCCACTCTGCTTCCAGATGCATTAGCATTCTAACATGTAAATATACTCAGGGTATCTCATTCCATTTCACACCCAGCCGGCCCTGAGACTTTCAATAGACGACACAGACTATTACTGTAACATCTTTTACATGGCATTCGAGACCCCAGCTCCTCCTGTGTCATCTCAATTCCTACACATTTTACATTTAACCATTCAACTTTCAATCACTCTTCTCATGCCTGTGGTATTTACACTGTCTGCCTGGAACGTCTACTTCTGTTTATCTTGTTGGCAAGCTTCCAACTCAGCTCTCAAGCCTAAGTTCAACTAGCTCCTTCCCTGTGAAGCTTCTCTGACTTCTGGGGGAGACTGATGTCCCCTCACATCTCCTCCCACCGTGCTTCAGACATACCTTATTTATGGCAACTGTCAAGCTCAATGTTAATGATATCTATTCTCCTCACTAGACTTCTGTGGGCAGAGGAAATGGCTTTATGATTTGTATTCCCATAAATATTTATTGAATGGATTGAAGGTTTTGCCCACGTGAGCAAAGAAATAGAATCTCTACCCTTAGTCCTCATGTTATGAATCAAAACTCTATTCTACCAGAGCCTGGCAAGGTGTTTTTTGCAGCTCAAACCTTTCTCATTCTACTTCCATTACCTCTTTGTACTTTCTCTGTATGAAACCTCCATGCAGCCATCATCCATAATTAGGAGAGCAGGGTACAGAGCCAGTAAACCCACACTACCAGTCCCTCCGATCACTCTCACGTGGAGACAGATGACTCTCCTCCAGCAGAACCCCCACAGAGGGACCAGGACATGAATCAGATTCCAGTTGCAGCCCTCTCACTGTGATGTTTACAGTGACTTTTAATTATGCATCAAGCTCTGTGTAATTGATGGATAATATGTACTTTGAGAAAGTGTGATGTTATCAGGTAGAAATGATCCTGAATCTGTGCCTGCAGGTTTGTTGCTGTAAATGCTGATGGTGGTAGAGTGAGCTGTGACCCCGTTACCTGCTATTTTGATGTTCATATTATTATCCAGCAGGAGATTTTCAGCCTTGAGGTCACGGTGCACAATCTTCCGACTATGACAATAATCGACAGCAGACAGGATTTGCCAGAATTTACGCCTGGCCTCAGACTCACTTAACCGGCCATGATTAGCAAGGTAATCTGTAAAAGAAGACAGAGTTTAGAATTATTCACCAAAGAAAATAAACCACTAGCAGGGTTCAGGAATCCCTGAGTGGGGCAAATGGTCACACACTTGGCTGCCAATTGAAAAGGTGGTGGTTCGAGTCCACCCCAGAAGAAAGGCCTGGTCATCTACTTCTGAAAATTCAGTCATTAAAAACTTTATAGAGCACAGATCTACTGTGACACATACAGGCTTGTCATGAGTCGGTACTGACATGATGGCAATGGCTTTTATTTAGTTTGTAACTAGGATTTCACCCTCAATAGCTTTTTTAATGAATAAGGGCTAGTGTTCAAATATGTTTTCCAAGTTCCTTGCCCTTCAGAGAAGTAATTCCAATAATATTTCATTGCAGTACAGATAAATGGTGAGAGCCCATGACCAGACAACAGCAAGCGGCAAAATGCTTTTTATGTCAAAGCATTCCTTCTATTTTAGTTGAGAAGTGTATTGGATGTTTCCCAAACAACATTTAAAAATGAAAATTTAGATAAAACCAAGAACATGAATCTCTGACATCCTACCAAAGGACATTTTTTTTTTATTTTTAAAAAGGATAACTTTTTTAATAGCATGTTTTTCATTTATTATACAAACCATAGAGTGTACTTGGAAGTTGCTTAAATTCTGATCTACAAACGTATATGCAGATTTGTTCTCTCAATCAAGCATTGTGATGACAGCCATGAACTCGAAACTAGAAGGTAAATATAATATTGCAAGGTGTACTGGCTATCTTATGTACAGTTACAATCTTTATTAAAGTGGTTTACTGAAATTCATTAGACCTAAAAAGTAGAGCTCATTGGAGTGTCACCTAAAATCCTCTGAAAAAAAATTTTTTTTTGACTTTTTATTGTGAATTAAGGTGCACAGAGCAGATCATCAGTTTCACATTTAATAAATCATACACTTTGTTTCATCTCAATGATTGCAACCCCTCAATGGGACACCATTTATCCCACTTCCTCCCTGTGGTTCTTGTCTTCATTCTGCCTTCTTTCCCAATCCTCTGAACCTTGGGTAATTGCTGTCTTTTTAAAAATCTCTAATGGTGTGCATACCTCACGAGTGTAGTTGTCCCCGCTATCTATTTATTGCTTCACTGAAAATTGAACCATGGGAGTGACTCTGAACTTATCTTTTGTGGAAGAAGGTTAACACAAACCTTGAAAGATTTTTCTATTTAAAGAAAAATTTCCTGAGTAAATTGCACAATCGCCTGCCCATATACTGTTTTGCTCCAGTCTATCTGACTGTTGTTTTTCTTTAAAATTCCATCTCTTTGGCCTATGCCATTCTCAGTACTTACTATAAAATTTACTAACACTAACATTGCAATTTTGGAGTCCTGGTATGGCACTGGAGAATAAAGCATGGGACGGCAAGGTCAGATTGAACCACAAAGTTATGGTTCAAACTCACCAGTCACTCCTTGGAAACCCTATGCGGGGTTCCTGTGGGTTGGAACTTACTCAACAGCACTTAACAACAACATATTACAGCTTACAGGTTATGAAGCATGTTCATATTACAGTAACTCTAAAAACCTATGATTACATGAAGGCTTCAGAAAGTTTGCGTAAAAAATGCAATGAAAAGGTCACTGATTTTTTTCCATGAACTTGAAGCCTCCTTGTATTACTGGAATGCTATTTTGTAGAGGAGAAAACTGAGGATCCAAGGGATTAAGTAGCCTGGCTGACAATGAACAATTGATACGTGAATGGTCAACCTGGAACTAGAATCTTTGCATTTTAAAACTATATCAAGCAAGTTTCCTTTCAAAACCCTGCTCAAATACCACCAGGCCCTTAAACCACCCATCACTTCAGGTAGGAATGATTCTCCCTTGTCTGAATGCCTTATCACACACAGTCTCACACTATAATGATCATAAATCTTCAAACACACACACACACACACACACACACACAAGTACCTTAATGTGATGTTTTAGGAAATAAAACACACCTTCAATTAAACTTCCTGAGAAGAAGGACCAAAACATTCTCATGTTGTCTACCTGCAATGCATAGCACCATGCACAAAACACCACAGGTACAGTAAGCACATAAATACTTAGCTTAGGAAGTCCTATCCTGAATGGTATCAGGAACCTTTCCATCAACAATATTATAAAAATAAAACGTGGCGCAACATTGCCTTAAATGGGCATTTTGTCGATGGTTTTCTTTACGCATTGTCCAGCTTTCACATGCCTTTGTTGTTGTTGTTAAGTGCCTATGAGGCGATTAAAAATACCATGGCTTACGTCAGGAGCACTTTAAGTCTTCATACTGATATTTGTGCTTTAAAACTTTAAAGAGGTCTTCTGCAGTAGATTTGCCTAGTTCAATGTATTGTTTGATTTCTTGACTGCTGCTTCTATGAACATTCACTGTGGCTCCAAACAAAATGAAGTCTTTGACAACCTCAATCTTCTCTTTGTTTATCGTGATGCTATTTATTGGTTCAGGTGTGATGATTTTCGCTTTCTTTATGAAAACTATAGTCTTTGATCTTCATCAGTAACTATTTCAAGTCCTCTTCATTTCCAGCAAGCAAGGTTGTTGTCAGCTACATATCACAGGTTGTTAGTGAGTCTTCCTTTAGTCTTGATGCCAGAGATTATATTTTCTTCATATAATCCAGCTTCTTAAATTATTTGTTCAGCATGCAAATTTATTACAATGCGGGAGCACATCTTTTCTGGTTTAAACCATTCAGTGTTCCCTTGTTCTGTTCCAATGATGGCCTCTTGATCTATGTACAGATTCCTCATGGGCACAATGAGGAATTCCACAAGTGTCATGGAATTCCCATTCTTCACAACATTACTCATAGTTTGTTATGTTTCACACCGTCGAATGCCTTTGCATGGTTAATAAAGCACAGGTAAACATACTTCTGGTATTCTCTGCTTTCAGTTATGATCAACCTGACCTTAGCAATGACATCGCTCATTCCACATCCTCTTCTGAATCCAGCTTGAATTTCAGTCAGCTGCTAATTGATGTACTGCTGCAACCATTTTTTTT